CTTCCAGAAAGTTCATACTGATTAATTTTTCCAACCAGAAGAGTATGTAGGGTCTTTCCCTCATACTCTTGCCAATTTGGAATATTACTGAGATTTTTAAAATCTTCGCTAACTTAATAGAGGAAAAATGATGTTTATTTTAATCTATATTTATTTGGGTATGAAAGTTTTGTGGTTTTCCATAAAGCATACAGGCCATTTGTCTTCTTTTACAAATTGTTTTTTTTTTATAGTATTTCCCATTTTTTTCTGTTGGGATGAGCATCTTTGTAGTATAGATTTTTTAAAAGTGTTTCTCTCCTAAAGGTAGTAACTGCTTATAAATGCCCCCTTTTTGGTGTCAAAAAATTTTTATCAATGTGCCCACCTGATGCTCTACTTTTAAAACAACAAATAAAATGAATGATAACAAGAACTCATATTTATAGAGTTATTATAATATATAGTATAATATAATATACATATTTATAGAGCTTATTATATGCCAGGCGTTATGCTGTGTAAAGCAGCCTTATGAGACAGGTTCTGTTCCGCTGGACAGATGGGGAAACTAAGGTAGGAGTGGTTCATTTTCTCCAGGTTACATAGCTTGTAAGTGGTTGTGTGGGTATCGTTTGATTAACCAAATGCGTGGTGACATTCGGCTTCCATGAATTCAATAACATTTTAAAATAAATGTATCATTCATTCATCCTAGAAGTATCTCCATACATTTACAAATCTGTTTTACGTGTAAATTAAAGGCATATATTTGCTCTAAGGGCAGTGTTTGCTGGACATGTAATTGAACAACTCCGTGTAAGAATTCTGTGCTCTTCCTCTGTTACCCCCGTGGTTTACCGTTAAGAACCACGTTGGACCTTTGATTTTTTTCAAGAAGGGGAAACCGAGGCTCAGGACAAGGCAGGAAGGAACTTGCACAAGGTCACCTAGAATGTTTACGGCACAGCCACGACTGAAACCCAGAGCTCGGGATACCCAGCCCAGGTCCCTGTGTGGCTTGGCCCCGCCTTCTAATCTCCAGTCCCTTGGGTATCAGAGGGAAGGACAAGGATGCTGTGCTGGTCCCGGCGTGGACCCGTCACATTCTCAGGGTGCCAGCCGCTAGGGAAACCGAGTGGGCACGGATTCCCAGTCCTCGGGCTACATCGGCTGCCGGGCATTCCAGGACCCTGGCACCCCGCCAAGGGTGAAAACAGAGCTGCTGCTTCCCGGGTTGCCTTCTGCCCCCTCCTCTTGGGTTTGCATCTCATTGCTGGGTTTGCAACATGCCTAATCTCTGCGTGTGCAGACTCAGAGGAGCCAGCTGAGAGGAAGCATTGCCAGCAGCTCGGAGTCCTCCACGAGGCCTGCTGACCACCCCTCCCCCAAGCCCCTCGCTGGACGAACAGGTCCAGAGCGGCCCGCAGACATGGCTCCTGGAGCTTCAACGGGCTCAGGCTTTATGGTGCCCGCTGAGATGGACCCAGCGAAGGACACTAGCCCATGGCGTTATCTCTCTCTCTCTCCCCAGATGGAAGTCCTGCCACATCCCACCCTGCCCCCACAGCCTTCATTACAGACACAGAAAACAGCTGTAGTGCACATCAGTCATACAAGTGAGACTCGGTTCTGGTTCCCCCAGGCAGCCGGACTCTTCCAAGAATGGAGAGAACTTAATTGTGCGGTCAATAAATAAATATCAAATACTGTGTACTCTGTAACCCATTGTAGTTCCCTTTTTGCTCTAGCTGCTGGGAGGCTCAGAAGTGAATGGGCGGCTAGATGACTAGCCATCTTATAACAGATGCTTGGTATGATTGGCATCAACCTTTCTCCATGAAATCTCTGTCCCGTTAAGTATTCTATGTTTGTGTTACAAATCATCACAATGCTTTTTACGTGATGAAGGTGGGATGTTAGTAAAAAATTGAACATGAAAGAAAATGGCCAGTAGACATCTCTACTTTGAGATAGAAATGCTTTTCTCAGAAGAGATGGTTTTCTGCTTAAGACTCAGAAAAGTGGCTGTACGTCTCTTTTCCTCTCTCTCCCTCCCTTCTCTCTCTCACCCTCCATCCTTTATTCTCTTACTCCTGCTTTTCCCTCCTTCCCTTCCCCTTTTTGGGTCCCCCTACCCAACACATATCTTCTTCCTGCTCACCCCTTGCCTCTGCCTCTGGGTGGCGAGTTTAATACTAACATCCTTTACAGATCCGTAGCACTTGGCTCTTCCCAAGGCCTCGTCCCAGCCTTTACCTCATTTATTCCTCATGGGGATTGCCTGGCAATTATGATGATTTCCATTTTACCAGGAAGACACTAAGGCCTGGTGAGTTTAAGTGATGTGCGCATGCTCACAGCATACACTCTTCCTATCAGGTTCAGATCCAGGACTCATGAGTCTAATTCCATCACACTCTCCGCCGAACCTCACTGCCTCTCAAGGCCAGCCTCACCCACCAGACCACCCACGTTGCCTGGCCAAGATCGCTGAGAGTACCCCAGAGAGAAGAGGATTCAAAACAATAACCTCCCCATCCTTTTGAGATCTCTTTAAGAGCTGAGATTCTCAGTGGGGCCAGCAGGACCTATGGAGGGGGGCAGTGAATTGCGACATGGGCCATCTGGTCAATCATTTAGTAAATATTGAGAATGAGCTATGTGCTAGGCAAGGCTGAGACTAGGGTGCGGCAATAAGGTACCTTAGGTGCCAAACTCAAGGACGCTTTCACTTTTCAGGTGCTGTTCCTACAAGGGCAGGACCTGGAGAGGTGGTGTCTCCTTAAAGTTTCTGCCCTGGCACGTTGCTTGCCTTTCACTAGTTCTGCCTTGGTACCGGGCAGGGTTACAAGTGCTGGCTCTTCAATGGTCAGTGCCTGCCCTCGTGGAACTTACCATGTATTATGGGAAACAGGTATTAATCAAATAGTCACGCAAACAAAAGACTGTTCTAAGGGTGACAAGTGCCATGCAGAAATGGACATGGGGCTGGAGGTGTTATGGCAGTGGGGGTGGAGGGGGGTGGGGAACAACAGTGAGAGCTGAAGGATCCATAGGCGTTTTTCAGGTGTGCTTCGAGGAGAGGACACAGCAAGTTCACAGGCACCACAGCAGGGTGGAGGTGGCATGGGGGCAGGGCCCGGGGAGGAGGAGGCCTGTGCTGGTGAAGGATGGAGGGGCCAGAGCAGGAGAAATGCAAAATGGTCCCAAGCAGTCTGTTTCTAATAAATTGCCAGAGTCTGCAAATGATTGACTTAAAAAAAACAAATCCAATCCAATGGAGAGAATTCAAAGCCACCCCTTAATGAGGTCACTCATACCCACCTTCCTGATCAGCTTTCTTCCCGGGCAGGTATGCAGAGACTGTGCCTAACCCCCTCCAAATTCATCTTCGTCCATTTCCATACGGCAATGTCTGTGATAGACTCTAACGCTAGCCACGTTTTGCAGCTGAACAAAGGCCACAGATGGGGTGGCCTAAACAAGATTTATTTCTCACAGTTTCAGAGGCTGGGAAGTCCAAGATCAAGGTACAAGCCAATTTGGTTCCTGGGGAGAGTTCTCTTCCTGGTTTGCACACTGATGCCTTCTTGTCCTCACCTGGGGCATAGAGAAAGCCAGCTCTGGTGTCTCTTCCTTTTGGATTAGGGCTCCACTTTTATGAACTCATTTAATCTTTCATACCTCCTCACAGGTCCTGTCTCCAAATACAGTCACATTAGGGCTTAGGGCACCAACATAGGGGGTGGGAGCACACAAACTTTCAGACCCTAACACCTGCGGGTGCGGGTTTGAGGGGGGGGGCTGGTCACACAGCCAATCACTGGGATTTTAACATAAACGGTGCCCCTTTGGGAACCTAGGCCTCTAACCACCAGTCTTCACTACCTCAGGATGTATTATGTGTGAATGCTGCCCCTCCCAGTGAGAAGTGCTCTTCAGGGAAGGAAGCCTTCAGTAATCCTTTACAAATCCTTAGGACCTAGTCCCTGCCTGGCAGCTGGACTTGTGGGCTGCCGATCCCACCCCAGGGTTGCCCGGTGATCCTTCTGGAAGAGGCTGGGCTGAGAGTGTGGCATGGAGGTGTACCAGACCTGAAACGTAACGCTTGAATCTGGGGGTTCTCCTGTTTCCAGTTTACTCAGAGCAGGCCCCCAGCTCCAGTCTAGACTCCATCAGGAACGGACTGCGTGACCTTGGGGGAGTCCCTCGACATCTTCCCGCCCTGGGTTCCTGTCTGGTGACCGCAACCCTCCTCCCTTGACAGGTGGCTGGGAGCCATTCGGTGGGCCAGGAGGTCGGTGTCCCCCTCCCACCGCCGCAGGCGCCGGTTCCCCACCCCGCACCGCGCAGGTGGGGAAGGGGCGGCGTGCGGCGCGCCCGGCGGGTGGGGGGCAGGCAGGGATCGGTGGTGTGGCCCAGTTCGCCGCAGGCCGCGCCGCAGCCACTCCAAATCCGCTGCGGTCGCCGGGAGAGAGTGCGGGGGGCCGTCCGCGCACGTCGCCGACCGGCTCCCCACGCCCGCCCTCTCCGGGATCGGCACCCCCTCCCCATTCCCCGCGCTCCCGGCCACCCCAGACGCCCGCCCGGCGCCCCCCTCCCCGCCCCGCTGGGGGCTGCACTCCCCCCTCCCCTCGGGTAGGCCCCCGGCCGCCGCCCCTCCCGGGCGCCCGGTCCCTCCCGCTCCCCGCGCGCCCCCCTCCCGGCCGCCAGCCAACTGCGTGCCCCCGGGGCCGGCAAGAAGCCACATGCCCCCGCAAGGAATGCCGGGCCTGGCGGGCGGGGGGCGGCGCTGGGCAGGGCCGGGCCGGGCAGGGCAGGGAGCTCCCTGCCGGGAAGGTTGGTGAGAGGGAGAGAGCGGCCCGCGCCCTCCCCGGCCCCCCGCGCCGCCCCTGCGCCCAGCTGCGGGACCTCACACTTTCCCCGCCGGACACGCGGGCGGGACGCCCCGCGGGGCTGCGGGAGCCGGGGTGGGGGGGGGCGGTGGCCCGGGGGCCGGGGAGGGGCGACTCGGCCCGCCCCGGGCAGCCCCCGCCCCCCTCCGCGCGCCCCCCGGCCCCGCCGGCTCGGAGGAGGGGGCAGGCCGTCGTGTTTCCCCGCACCCCTCCCAGCCGCCGCCGGCTTTGGGGCCCCGGTGGGGAGCAGGGGGCTGATTAGCCGAGGAGCAGGGGTGTGGCCAGCGGGGCCCCGGGTAGTGAGTCACACACGCAGCTCGCCCAGTCCCGGGCCGCGAGCGCGGTCCCAGTCCGAGCCGCGCGCCGCCCTGGCCCGAAGAGTGTCCCCGGGCTTGGCATGAGGATCCCGGGGTGCCGAGGGAGGGGCTGAAGCCCGGCGCGGTGGTGGAGGAGGGCGGTAAGCGGCGGGCTGGGGAGACTCCCCTAGAGAGAGCGGGTGGGGCTTGGAGTCAGGGCTGGCCCTGCCGGCCCACACCAGGACCCCCAGGCCCGCCTGTACCTGCTCTGAGCTGGCAGAGCGGGCTTGGCCACATTCCCTGGCAGCCCCTGAGTGAGGGGGCTGCGCAGCCCGTGCCGAGGGGCCAGGTTCCTCTGTCAGTCCCTCTTTGGCCCCAGCTGGACCCGAGTGGGTCCCTCTCCCGGTCCCTCATTGCAGACTTTTGTGCGGAGGCTTCTGTGGAAGTCTCATCCTTTGCCCTTTCTTTGGTCTCGGGGTCCATGCTGTGCTATCCAGTCCTGCCCCCTGGCCTGAGCTGCCCCTCGGCCTCTGACCCCATGGGGCTGGTGGCTCCAGTCTTCCCCAGGACCAGCCCGGGATAGAAATGGCATTTCCTCTTGGCCGGGCTACAGCTGTTTTTGTTGTCTCTGTTCTCAAGCGTTTCCTCTGGGGATGGCAGGGAGGGTAACCAGACTCCACGGGACCCCTGCTTGCCCTCTCTGACACTCACCCTTCTTCCCCTGTCTCTTTGATCCTCTTCCTGTGCTGGTCCCGCCTTCGTGTCCCCAGGACAGAATGACTGACAACATGAAGGAGTGCCTGGCCCAGACCAAGGCGGCTGTGGGGGATATGGTGACCGTGGTGAAGACCGAGGTCTGCTCCCCACTCCGAGACCAGGAGTATGGCCAGCCCTGGTGAGGCCCTGACGTGGGGGCAGGAGAGGGAGAAGTGGGGAATCTCGGGGCTGGGTTGGTTGCACGCCCTGGGGAGAGTTCCCACGCCTGGCCCATAGTCCTTCGCCTGCTTTGGGCAGCTCCTGGGAGCAGATGTGAGTGAGCACAGGCCCTAGAAGACCAAAAGAACCCACATGGTGGCCCTAAAGGCCTAGGCCCAGGTCTCAGAACACCTACCTTTTCACGATCCCCTGCCCTGAACAGGCTGGCACTCCATCGCCCGCCCCACATCCCCACGTCCCTGTGGCCTCCTGGCCAGGTCCATGGCTTCTCTGCCCACCAGCCTCCCACTCTCTGATGGCTTCTTTGCTTCCTTTACTGGCCCCTGGCCTGGCCAGCTCTAGGAGACCAGACCCCTCACCCATGGAAGTGGAGCCCAAGAAACTGAAGGGGAAGCGTGAGCTCATCATGCCCAAAAGCTTCCAGCAAGTGGACTTCTGGTGTAAGTGGAGCCTTGGGCTGTTCCTGGCTTTCTCCTCCCTTTACCCCTTCACCCTGCTCCCCCGCACCCATACCCCATCTCTGCTTAGGGAATTTGCAGCCATAGGACTAATGATAGGCGCTTGCCTATGATGTATCAGAGACCGGTCCAGGCTTCCATTAATCCTCACCCTTAACCACTGAAGTGGCCCTTATTGGTCCCATTTTCCAGGTGAGGACCCTGGGGCTTGGTGGGGGCTGAGAGCCCTGCTTCGGGTCCCACAGCCCTCAGATTCACACAGTTGCTGTTCCAACGCGGGCCCGTCTGCCTCCAGAGCTAGGCTGTGAACTTGAAACAAAGGGAGCTCCTGGCCTCCTCCTCACTGGCAGGCGTGTCTGCCGAGCCCCCAGGGAGGGGAATGGGTTTTTACCACTGAAGACTCAGGGGCCTGTGGCTGGCTGGGGTGGAGCCAGGGCCGGGACTCGTGAGTCCCATGCAGTGTGCTTTCCACTGCCTGATGCCGTCCTCAGGGTGGGCCTCCCTGCAGCCCCTCAGCCTCCGCCGTGGGCGTCCCGCCTCCCCGCACCAACTGAGGCTCTTTCGCTCTTTCCGTCCCTTCAGTCTGCGAGTCCTGCCAGGAGTACTTTGTGGATGAGTGCCCGAACCACGGTCCCCCAGTGTTTGTGTCCGACACGCCAGTGCCCGTGGGCATCCCAGACAGGGCTGCCCTCACCATCCCGCAGGGCATGGAGGTGGTCAAGGAAGCCAGTGGGGAGAATGACGTGCGATGCATAAATGAGGTCATCCCCAAGGGCCACATCTTCGGCCCCTATGAGGGGCAGATCTCCACCCAGGACAAATCAGCTGGCTTCTTCTCCTGGCTGGTGAGTGTCCCCTGCCTGGCCCGAGCCGTGGGAGAGGGTGCTAAGGAGCATGGAAGGAAACCAGCAGGGGGAGCCATATGCTGGCCCAGCCTGGCCTGAGAGCTTTCCTGCCATCCGTCCAGGATTCGGGGATGATGGATCTCGCTATCCCCTTGCCCTGGCTGAGTAGGTGTGCCACCCTGGGTGGCTGATGGCCATGCTGAGGGGCCCGTCTGGCTGGGGTCATCAGTAGAATCGGTGGGGCTCTAGGGAATGTATGGCCGGCCGGCCAGGCGGAACTCAGGGCTGTTTCCCCGTGAATGTTCATGTGTGTGTCTGGCGGGCCATTGTGTGGCATTTACAAAGGGTTGACCCAGGCCTTCCTCCGCAGTGGGTGACTTGGGTCTGGGGGCTGTGGGAATGCAGAGCATGACATTCAGCCCAAAAAGCAGTGATGCTGGGTGCTGGGCTGGGTACTGGAGGAAGTCGCCCCTACCCTCAGGGAGGGGACAATCTGGTGGGGAGAACAGATACTGGACAGGTATGTGCACACATGATCATTGCTAGGGAAGGGGGAAGACGGGACACTCTCGAAGCAGAGGGAGACGGTGGTGTTCATGGTGCTCGGGGATCTGGGGCCTGGAGCCCAAGTTCGTTCTGTCAGCCAGCTTTGCTGGCGTTTTACTATCAAACGTGACCTTGGACGAGTCATTTAACTTCTCTGTGCCTGTGTTCTATAACAGAATAACAGAATAATTATAATTGATGGTGGAGAGGAAATAGGTCAATACTATGAAGTTTTTAGAGCCATGCCTGCCTTCGGGAAGCATGCAGTGAGTATCAGCTATTATCGTTGTCGTTGGCCTCCTTGAGGGGTTTGGGCAGGATTTCCTTCAGCTTGAGACTTGAGGACTGAGTAGCAGTCAGGGGACGGGAGATGGAAGAATGCTGTAGGCACAAAAGCAGCTGAGTGAGGGAAGCTCCCAACAGGTCCGGTGTGGTGTTAGCAATGAGCTCAAGAGTCAGTGTGGAGAGAAATCAGCAGAGAAGGAGGCAGGGGCAGATCACGCTACATTTCCTGAGTCTGGGTAAGTGTGTGCTTCTCCTGTGGGCTGGGGGAAAACATTGAAGCAGGCCAGGCAGAGGCCTTGCAGAATGGGCAGGGTAGGGAGCAGAATGGAGAACCGGGATGGGCAGGCAAAGATGCTGGTTTCAACTTGGGTGCTGGGGGCAGGCACATTCGCGAGAGGTTCAGGAAGGAGAATCTCTGAGATTTATTAACGGATGGGATGTGGAGGTAAGGAAGAGGGTTTGTAACGATCTGAAGAGGAAGGATTATTAGGGATGACTCTTGACTCTCGGGAGTCAAGCTTGAACAGAGAGGGAAGAAGGCAGAGCCAGTAGAGAAAGTCAGGCTTAGGGAGTAGGAAGATCATTCATTAGTCATTAATTAAACCCTTCTTGTGGGGCTCCTCTGTGCTAGGCATTGAACTGGCCTTGGGGATATAGTGATGGGCCAGATCAGACATCAGTCCTGCCCTCATAGGGCTTCTTATGGGGAAGCTAGAATGAATCAAACAATAAGATAAATAAATGTAAAATCATGATTCAGGAGATGAAGAGACAGTGAGGCTAGGAGAAAAGGGAACAACTGGAGGAATTGGTGTGACCAGAGGTCGGGGAAGGTTTCCTGATAGTGGAGCTGTGATTGACAGGAGAGAATGCCCACCAGATGGACAGAACAGCATGTGCAAAGGCCCTGTGGCAGGAAAGAACGGCACATTTGCATGACTAGAAGAAAGTCATTGTACCTGGAGTGGAGCTTCATACCTGGAGTGCAGCCCCTGGAGTACCAGGGGCCAGGAGGGGGGAGAGAGAAACTTGGAAGTCTAGGGCCCAGTAGACCAAACTGGGACTTCTGCTCTTTAAGAACAATAAAAAGTTTTGTTTATGTTTTGAAAGGGTGACTTTGGGTGCAGCCTGGAGACCAGATCAGGGGTGGGGGCATTGGTGGAGAATGGATGCCCACATCCCACTGAGAGGGCTACATTCGTTCTCTACTTTGGTGATAGTGGAGGCTTGAGCGAGAGTGGAGTGACGACATGGAGATAGGCGAACTGGTTTGTGACCCGGTTCAGGGATGAGTGAGACTGACTGGCAAACAGATCAGTTGGTCTAAGTAAGGGAGAGGGAATTGGCCAGAACAAGTCTTTCCGTGTTCTGCTCTCAGTAGGTCAGGAAGGGGACTCTTAGAAGTGGAATGCAGGGCAGGGCCTGGGCGGAGGGCGAGATCCCCTTTCTGGTTTTGGACTCGCAGAGTTTGGAGTGACGGCAAGGTCCCCAGTGGCCTTGTCAACTAGGCAGTTAGCTACGTGTGTGTGGAGCTGGGAGAGGAGGTTTGCAGATGTCAGTTCCTGAGTCACCGGGATGTAGGTGTCGGTAGGGCTAAGGGTGCTGAGGGCAGCCCCCAGCGAGAACAGGTGAACGAGAGGTGGAGAGGGCCTAGGGCTAGCGGTCCAGGAGGGGAACGTGATCCTGCAAGGGAGATAGGAATTGCAGCCTGAGAGGTAGGAAGGACAGAAGGGCCAACAAGAGAAGGGCTCAGAAGTGTCCACTGGATTTAGTGCCAGAGAAGTCACCGGCGACCTTGGCAACAACTACTCGGTCAGACAGTGGTTCTTGACCTGGGGGAGTTGGTGCCCCCCCCCACGCCCAGCCCACCCCAGACGTTTGGTAACATCTGGAGACATTTTTGGCCATCATAACTTGGGATGGGGATATGCTACTGGCATCTGGAAGGCAGAGACCGGGGATGCTGCTAAACCTTTCACAGTGCATGGGACAGCCTCATCCCACGAAGAATGATCTGGTCTCCGTAGCCGATGGTGCTGTGGTGAAGCCCTTCGAGAGAGCGGCAAGGTGGGAACACTGTTAGGTGACCAGTAGACTCACTTCTCGGAAGCTGGAACAGCGGTGAGATCAGTGCAGGAGAGACGGGAGCTGGGAGCGGATGACTGCAAGCAGACCCGGGGGCGGGGAGCTTTGTTCAGAGAAAGACAGTAACATCCTTGAAAAACCTGGTGGGGGACTGTCCTCCTGGAGAGCTGGTTGACTCCAGAGGAGCGATGAGGTAGGGTGGACAAGCTCTTCTATGACCAAGAAGGTTCAGATGGAGACATTGCCTATGGAAGGGAGACAGGTCAACAGTTTTGCTGTCACTAGAGGGATATCCTAGAGACTCGGAGCAGTTGGAGGGAGGGGAGTGTAGTAGGGCCTAATCATGGCTTCTCTGAGGATGGCCGTGTACTGACCCCTGGATCCCTGCCTATGTCCTCGTAGATGGCCAAAGGGACTCTCCGGAGGGTATTACATTAAGCTCTTGAGATGGGGAGATTATCTTGGATTATGGAGGTGGGCCCCATGGAATTACAAGTATTCTTATAAGACAGAGACAAGAGAATCAGACTCAGAAAAGATGGGAAGATGTTATCCCGCTGGCCTTGAAGATAGAAGAAGGAGCCAGGAGCTAAGGAATGCAGGTTCCCTTTAGAAAAGGCAAGGAAGTAGAATCTTCCCTTAAACCTCCAGAAGGAACTCGGCCCTGCCAACACCTTGATTTTTAGGCCTTCCAACCTCTGGAACTGTGAGGTAATAAACGGGCAGTGTTTGAAGCTATGGTGTTGTGGCAGTTTGTTAAGAAGGGATAGGAGGTGAATGCAGTGGGCTTGCGTGTCTAGGGTGGGGGGACGTCTGTCGACACATGCAGAGAGCGGGAGATTGCTGGCCTGAGCCAGGGGAGTGGCGAAGGTGAGTTCAGGCTCGGTGAGTGAGCTGCAGGTGCGCATGGCTAGGAGACGCCCAGGTGGGCAGTCCAAGGACAGGTCCGCGCATGCGGGTCAGCTGAGGACAGGGGCCTGGGCGGAGGGCACACGAAGCACCTGCCTGGATGCAGCTGAGGCCCCTGGAAAGGATGGGCTGTGGTTGCCTGGTGGCAGAGAAGCAGGGGTACTGAAAGCCACTGGGCTTGCGCAGGGCATGGGGCTCTGTATCCTGGCTACAGGCAGTTTCGAGATGGAAGCCACGCTTCTGGGGATGGAGATATGAGTGGGAGGGGAGGAGAGAGCCAGCAAGGCTGGCTGGCTTGTTTTGAAAGTCTGGCTGCTCAAAAGCAAGGATTCTAGGCTAGCTGGGTGCTACATTACTCCTTTGACAGCCCCACAGGCGAAGGTTGCTGGCCTTCTGGTTCCGAGGATGGAGCCCAGGACTAAAGAGGTTAAGCATGTGACCCCAACTCCCAAGGCTGACGCACGGTAGACTGTGGCTTCTCACAAAGATAGCCCCTTTCCACAGTGCCAGGCTTTCAGGATGGGAGGCGAGGAGCTCTATTCCCAACCAGGTACCATCGAGGCGGAGTGTCGCTGGAGGTTGTAGTCCTTGTAGAATGTTGTGGGGCCAGGGAGGAGGGGAGTGGCTTTTGACTGGGCAGACTGGAGATGGGTCTTAAAGGATGGGTAGAGGTTCGGCAGAGGCAAAAATCTAAGGGTTTGCTCCTTCCCCCGCCCACAAGAACCTACACCTTGGGACAGCCCAGCTGGGCAAGCAGCCTTCCCCGATTTGCCGCATGGGGCTGCGGTCTGGAGGAAAGGAAGCGGAGGAACCCCTGGAGTGTGCAACCTGGTGGTAGACCAGCTCTACCAGTGGAGAGTGGGCATGGCCTGCAATTCAGGGCCCCGGGGGTGGGCGGTCCTGTTGCCCTGCTGGAGGTTCCTTCCTAGGGCCTTGGGGCTGCTGTGAGCTGTGACATGGGGATGGGTGCGGGGTAGGGAGTGGCCAGAGGTCACAGGGCCATGTGGAGTCTCTGACCTTTGTGATCCAGAGAGGCGAGAGACTCTGAGAGAACAGATAGACAAGATGGCTCAAGAAAGCAGAGCCCTGTGTATGTGTGTGCGCACGCGTGCATGTGCGTGCGTGTCCTCGGTCAGGCTTTGAGTTGGGGAAAAGCAGGAATGAGGAACAGCTCC